GACTTGCGGAGGAACATGAGCGCCGTCCTCGACGAGCTGCCAAGATCCTATCAGGAGACATGTGCAAGCATCACCAAGTTGCTTTTTGGAGAGTCCCGAAGACACATCACGCCGACGGGCAGGTCATTCACCAAGGAGGACGTTGAAGCTCAACAACCAGACACCGAGGACTACATCGACACCAAGACGATGCCTTCTGGAACTTTTGCTGAGCCTCCCAAAGATGACCCTCCAAAGGCCGCCGGCGACGGCGAGCCCGCTGCACCCAGCAGAGCAACAATCCTGGTCCAAACGGCTGAGGTCATGTTGAAGTCGCGACCGAAAGCAGCACCAGTCCCATTGGATGAGCCCGCAGATGACAAAAGAGCCACATCCAGCCAGTACCAGCCGCAGGCAACTGCGCGCTTAGAGGAACATGCATCCGGCCACGTGAAAGCATATTGGATGGAAGAGCATTTGCCTGAATACCAATATACAATGGTGACCAATGCAGACGGGGAAGATGTGCCCGGGATCCTCTTTGAAGGTACGGCTTATGAACTGGAACTGCTATCGGCATCCGACGTTGAGACCATTGCTGGCCAGACTCGTGTCGACAAGAAATTTTCCGATTTTGCAACCCGTGTCAACAAAGTTTGCAGGGGGCATGGATCCTGTGCCAAGGTGCCAATGGACAAAGACCTTTGGATCGACTTGGAGGATTTTGCCAAAGCCTTCCGCAAGGAAGTGCCCCCAGATGTTTTCATCACTGTCGCAAACCTGTTTGGCACCGCAATGAAGATCGACAAGCATGGCAAGAGTAGGTTCCAATTCTTGTGTGCAAAGATCTCCCATTTTCCTGTCGACAATGGCCTAGGCATGCCGTATTATCCTGTGAAAATCCGTGCAATTCAGGGTCATTCCGAAGCTGCCTTGAAAACCGCCGGGGGTCTTTATGCCAATTCAACCATGGTGTATTGCTCAAACCAAGTTTCCCCCGAGCGAAAAGCCGCCTTCACTGGCGTGCCCTTGTGTGCCATGACTGAGGTCCCTGAAGTTGTTTTTCATCGCACGATGAGAAGCAGCTGGAAGAGCATCGCACAGAACGGCCTGATCCCAGGCGGCGGTGACACAGTCAACAGTGGCCGTGCTCATATCTACATGGCAGAACACTGTATCGGCACACAGGGATATCGATCTGGATTAAGAGCAAAATGTCCAGTCGAAGTCAAAATCGCAATGCGGCAAGCAGTAGAAGCTGGTGTCATCTTTAGTCGCACAGAAATGGATGGTATTTTGTGTTCAGAACGCATCCCACCGCAGTTTCTGGTCAGCATCTCAGAAGATGGACAGGTGCTTTGGTCCCGCGCCGAGAGCAATCTCGAGCCCAGCTCATGGACAGGCGCGGAATCTGCCTCAGCACCGAAATCCAGAGCGGTCACCCTGACTGCCCGAGATGATGCAAATGACGACCCAATGGATGACACCAGCACGGGGCGACCCGATGCCACGTCCACTGATGATGCAGCCACTGCCCCAATGCAAGTTGACCAGCCGCCCGCAAGGACGCGCCGTGTTTACATTGCACCAAAGTACTGCGAACCTTTCATGGGCTCCTGCCCCCTCTGCCAGGTTGAGTACGTCAGTGGCCAAGTGACATGCACCACATGTGGATATGAGCCACTCCCAGTGGACGAAAGTGGCGAAACAAAAGAGGCCGACAAACCCAACAGGAGGACCCGCATCCTTGAACGGCGAATGCAGAGTCTCGCCGGGTTCGGAATGTTTGGGAAAATGAGCGGCAGCTTGTTGACGGCTTTGACAAATGAGCAAGCCGATCTTCTTCGCCGGGAACTGGGCCCCAGGGGAATCACATCCGTGGAATCAGCAGTCCTCAAAGACTGCCGCGATAGGCATCGACGTGCAAAAGCGCTGGGCTACGAGGATGTGGAAGATAGATTCGCCAGCGACGTCACTTTTTGCGACCGCATCCACGGTGAGGGGAAGGGCCTGCAGGAATGCATCTTTGATGACATGTTCGCATACGCTAACCTCCCCGATCCCCCCAGGACCAAAGCTCAGATCTCGGCTGGCGTCGCCGCCAATGCCCAAAATGAAAACTGCTTATCAAAGTTGATTTTCATGTCCCAGCCTCGAGGTGTGGAAGGGTTCCCAGTTGAGTTCCGCAAAACATGGAAGAAAGTCTGGGGATTCATGTTCGGCCGCCACATTTTTACAGAGGATGAATATGTCAGCTACATCGGCCGTCGTGGCGCATTCCGTGGCCTGCTGACCTGGAAGGGCACCGTCCAAGTTCCTTTTGATGGCACTCTTGAATTCCTCGAAAAGCTGTATGAGGAAAACCTTCCATTGGTTCGGGGCAACCTTGAACGCAAAGAGAAGCAGAGCGCCGCTGCAAAGGCTGGAGGTCCTGGAGGTCAAAAGGCCGACCCCACGGTCGCGCCCACCACAGAGCGAAAGCGCAAAGCCGAAGCTGATGCATCCGTCACCACACATGATG